CAAATGTAACTCTGTGTATTCTTCCCGTGTCACGGATCTGGCTGAGTGCTTCCTAGCTATTTTGAAATAATTGGTTTCTTTTTAAGCCGCAATTTCCATTTAATTTCAAAGCCCATATTCTGAGAGAGCGTCCTGGCTGAGCCTGGACGTGGCCTCGGGGCGCTCCTGACTCGGCCGCTGGCCACGGTGGCCCATGCTGCAGCGCAGGGGTGGTCCCGTCCTGGCGAGGCGCCTGGCACACAGGTGGTGGCAGAGAAGATGGCAGCTGTTAGTTCTTTATGCAATGCCGTGGGCAGTGCCCACAGCTCCCCTGGCAAGAGGTCCCTCCTAACTGTCCTGTGATTTTCCTCTGTTGGCAGGGAGAGCTGGGCACCGCTGGCCACAGATACTGGCTTCCTGGACCCTGTGGCGGGTGATGCTCCACCCAGGGGACCAGTCCCATTGACACGAGTCCTCTGCTTGAACCCACACTGCCTCGGACATTCCGGAGCCTCGGTGCTCAGGATCACTGGGCGAGGGGCGGTCCTCACCCGGCCCGGACAGCCTGGGCTGGGGTTTGGCCTTAGCCAGTCACCTCACCTCTCTCGGCCTCAGTTCCCTGGTCTGTAAAGGGGTGGGTGGCATGTGAGCATCTGCGACCCAGAAGGACCGTGAGGGTTCCGTACGACAGCATCTAAGGATTCGGGCCGTGCCTGGCACCTGGGGGACCAGGGGGGGGGGTCAGTCTCAGCAGGGAGGACGAGCAGGGCGGCTCAGCCCACAGTGAGGCGGGGGGACCTGCTCACTTGGAATTACTCACGAGGAGAGGACGCTGAGTTAAGTTAGAGTGACCTGGCTTTGCAGGTGGGAGGTGGGTCACCCGAGAGCCTGCCACCCCCCTCGCCTCCCCACTGTGAGCAGAGCGGACTCGACACGGGGACCCAGTGAGGGAACAGTGGGGTTTCCCAAAGGCTCCCTCTCACAGCGGGTCCTTGGAGGGACCGGTGCCCATACGTCTCTGGCGGCCTCGATCCAGTGCCCCCTGGGTTACCTTTGTGGATGACCTTGCTCCAAACCTTCAACCCTGGGGCATAGCCAGCTTTTCCAGGGGTGTCAGGAAGTGACGACGGGGAGGATGGCGCGCCCCGTTTCCCGTCCCGTCTGAGCTCTCTCCAGGTTGTAGCTGGGCTCACAGAGGTGCGTATGCCAGGGTCACATGGCACACACGCCGGAGCTGGCAGAGGCAGGAAGGCGGGACCCTGGGCGTCTTCAGAGGTGCTCGTGTGTGGGGGGGACTGACAGGTACTTCGGGGAAGCCGGGGGAATGGAGCAGAACGGGGCCCTTCCCCCACCTGAGGCTCTGGCCCTGCTTTTTCTAGGCACGACCTCAGACTGCTGCTCCCCAAGCCTCAGTTTGCTGGTCTGCGAAGTGGGGATGGTGATGGCACCCGCCTCCTTCACTCGGGGGAGGGGAGCTCAAAGCTGGGCCGGTGCACTTGCTGCAGCTGGTAGACTCATCACCATAGTTACCGCGAGTAGTTACCATGATACAGTGAGTCGGGCTGTGGACCAGCCCGCCCACCCGCTCTTGCTCGGCCCCTTTGTCGGTGGCCAGGCTTTGGCTGTGAGTCCTGTGGTCACAGATTTGGGGACCAAGGCCGGGGGGCTCAGTGGTAGGACCTACCTCTTCATGTACCATGCAGGGTGCTTGGCCTCGTGTCCAGGTAAAGGGGGGGGTCCTGTCAGATCGGGGAGACTGAGGCAGGGCTCCACCTCTGCCACGAGCAGCTGAGTGACCTGGGACTCCTCGTTTGGCTGGAAGTCCCCAGGCGCCCACCCCGTGCCCAGGCCCGCCAGGGCTTTCACTACCTGGACATGTTGCATCAAGGCCAGGCCGCCTCACACACGGTTTCTAGGTTCCGGGGAGATGGGAGGCGTGGGCGCTCCGGGGAGCCTGCCTGGAGGGGGCGCCGTCCTGTGTGGCCCCTGGGTCTCAACCAGCGGTGCCCGCCCAAGTGCCCGTCCAGAGCAGGTGTGGACGGGGAGGGGCTCAAGCTCCGTTTGACACGACGCTGAGGCCCAAGCCACCACCGAGGCCGGGCAGGTGACAGACCCAGGTGGGGCGGGGGCCAAGCGGATGACACACGCCTGTTTAAAGAGGGTGGCTGCCCACAGCTCCACTTAGAGGACTGTGGGTGCACATGTCCTCAGGCCTCCAGTTTGCAGCCTTTCCTAGCAGACGCTTTCGGGGTACACTTCCCAGAAAAGGGGGCGCATGTCCTCTGAGACCGTGTCCCCTGGAAGGAGGAACACCCTGCTTCTGAAAGTGCACAAGGGCAGCTGTCGCAGGACCAGAGTCCCCCCCTCAGCCCACGATCGAGGCCAAACAGCAGCCCAGGGCATTCTCTGCCATGTGGGTTGGGGTGAATCTGCTACCGGAGGCGTGGGGGCTCTCCTGTACCCTCAGTGCCCCCCGTGCCTCTGCCCGAGTGTGGCCTGTAGGATCCCGGTTACCCCTTTCTCTTGGGCCAGTAGGTTTGGGCTGCCCTTGTTTTACTGTAACTGGGGTGCTAGGGAGCCCCCCATCAGTCAGTCACCTTGAGGGCATGCTCCCTGAGTACTGAGCACGTCACTGCACAGAGGTGTCCCGGCAGGTGCACTTGGGGCGGCTGGGAGGACCCCAGCGAAGCCCGGGTGCACAGCGGCTCTGCTGGCCAGGCCACAGCAGGGCCCAGGGACCCTCGCCAGGCTCCCTCCTGCTCTGGGCCCGGACCCCGGGCCTTTGGCTTCCAGAACGTGACACAGACCCGTCGTACTTTCTTCCTCCTCAAGTTTCTCCCTCGCGCCTCCGTGCGGGTGTTCTGGTCTGTGCCTTCCTGGGGTGGTGGCCCGGGGACCTGGGTGGGCACAGTGGCGCTGTCAGGAGCCCTGTGTTCATTTCTGGGGGTGATTCTCTCTGGACACTGGACCCCAGAAACCAGGTCCTCCTGCCTTCTGGGCCCCTGGCAGCCCTGCTGCCATCCGGGCCTGACAACACCAGGAAGAGGGCCGAGCCTGGCCTGGGCCCGCACGCTGCGTGGGACAGGGACAGGGACAAAGGCAGCCCCGCACCCCCCTCCCTCCCGGCCCAGTGCAGGCAGGGCCCCTGGAGGCAGTGGGGGAGGGGCGGGGGTGCCCACCCGCGCTGTCCGCGGGGTGAAGAGGGCGCCGGTCGGGGGAGGGGAGCTGAGGCCCCTCCGAGGAGGGCGGCCGGGGGCGTTGCACAAAGCAGGCCTGTATCCCCTGAATGGGTGGCTTTATCCCGGGTCCTAATGACAGGACCTGGGCCCTGTGGAATCAAGCCAGGCTGCCCAGACTTGGACCAGCCTGTCGGGAGGCGGGAGGTGTGGCCACAGTTCCTGGGTTGAGGCCAGAGGCCCGGCCTTTGCCCAGCCCAGGCAGAGAAAGTGAGTATGTCCTAAGGGCGGTGGGGGCTCGCCAGGGTCCTGCCGGGGGGCCCCTTCTCAGGGCTCCGTGTCTCACCGAAGTCCCTGGCCAGTTCATCCCGCCTCTGGCCTCTCCCCAGTGAGCGGGGGACACGGTCCCACCCATGGGCCAGAGCCAAGGCCCAGGCTCCGGGTAGGCCAGGTGGGAGGAGCCAGTTCTGGGCCCCTGGGCACACGAGCGTCACGGGGCCTCAGGTGGGTGATGGAAGGACCCAGACAGTGCTCAGCCCTGACGGGAGGCTGGGCTGTGCCCGTTGAGCGGCTCCTTCTTCGTCCCGGGCATTCTGTGCACATGGGCGGTTGCATGGGCACTGCTGGCCCCCACCCACAAGATGCCAGGAGCACCCGCTGTGACTGTCACTCCTGTCCATAGATATGGCCACATGTCCCCTGGGAGGCAGACTTGCCCGACGTACTAAAGGTGCCGGTAAACTTGGCACAGTTGGCAGATGTGTGGGGAGGGAGCGGGTGTCCTGCAGAGGCCGGGGGGGTGGCGGGGGGGACGGAGGGCGGGGCTTCTGCAGGATGTGGGTTGTGTGTGTGAAGCTTCTGTGGTAACTTTCACCGAGGACGCGTTGCTTTCCCGCCTGAAGCCTCGGGGAAACTGAGGCCGGAGGCAGGATGGGTTGGCCCTGCAGGGTGTAGAGTCGGGGGGGCCCAGCTTGGGGGTCACAGCCTGTGCCCACTCCCCCCGCTCCAGCTGTCTGTGTTGTGGCCGGAGCTTGAACCTGTGCCCTGGGCCCTCGGGTGGTAGCTCTTTAGCGCCTGGTGTCATTGTGGCGTCTCCCTACCCCCTCGGGTCAGGGAGGTACCTTCTCCTGCTTGTTGGGCCGGGCATTCTGCCCCTCTGCCATGTCACCACCCAGGGCCGGGCAGGGCCAGCACCAGCGTCACCTGCTGCAGGGTGGGGGCAGGGGGCTCCGTGGACACCAAGCATGTCTTGGTGACATGGGCCTGCCTGAGTCTGCAGAAACCTCCCCGGCAGAAACCTCCCCGGCTCCCGCAGGATCAAAATAACCTTCCTGGCCCAGGCCGGTTTGGTTCAGTGGTTAGAGCGTCGGCCCGCGGACCAGAGTCACGGGTTCGATTGCTGTCTAGGGCACGTACCTCGGTTGTAGTTCAGTTGGGAGGCGACCCATCGGTGTGCCTCTCACATCGATGTTTCTCTCTCTCCCCCTCCCACTCTATCTGAAAATCAGTGGAAGAGTATACTTGGGTGAGGATTTTAAAAATTAAATAAAAAGTAAGTAAACCTTCCTTTTGAGGGTTTTTCCACCTTCAGGGGGAAAAACAAAACAAAACCAGAAACAAGAAAGGAGAATCGCGGTGTCTGCAGCCACGGGACCGGCCACTCTGAGCCTCTTGGCCAGAGGGGTCCTCCCACACGCTGTCCTGTCGCGGGTGGTGTGTGAGGTGTGAGCAGGTGCGTGTGTGTGCGTGTGTGTGTGTGTGTGGGTGTCAGGGCGGCGCAGGAGTAGCGGTGTTGGCGGGTTCTGCGTTGGGCCCCAGGGTCTCACGAGCTCCTTTCTCTTGCAGCGGAACTGGAGTTCGTGGAGATCACCATCATTGTGGTGGTGGTGATGGTGATGGTGGTGGTGATCACGTGCCTGCTTAGCCACTACAAGCTGTCGGCACGCTCCTTCATCGGCCGGCACGGCCAGGGCAGGAGGAGAGAAGACGCCCTGTCCTCAGTAAGTGCCCCGCCCGGGGCCGGCCCAGGTGTCCCATGTCCAGGTGCTCACAGGAACTGCAGGGGGCACAGCACTAGGTCCAGACAGAGACCGATGGGATGGGGTGAGGCAGAGGGGCCTAGTTCTGCAGCAGTGACCCCGACACAGGGAGGGCCACTCCTGAACCAACACCCTACAGGGTCTGGGCCAGGGACTCCGCGCCTTGGAGGCAGCAGGTCACCTGGGGAAAGGACCTTCCTGGGGCCGAGCTGAATTCCGGTTCCACGGGTCCCGGCCGTGTGCCCTGGGACCGATCCCTGACCCGTGCAATGGGGCCGTGGTCCACATTCGTTGTGTAAAAGCCGAGGGTGGAAGCTAGGGCAGGGGGTGCAGGCTGGGAATGCGGGAGGTGGTGGGCAAGGGTGGCACACATCGTTAACCGTGTCGCGCACACCGGGAGGGCAGTGACAGGACGGTTCTCGGGACTCGGGAGGTTGCCGGAAGGCCTGCCCGCAGGTTCGGGCGTCTGCTTGCTCAGGCCGCTGCCTCAGCATGTCACCAGGGCACGGGGTGGCCTCTCTGGTCCCTCCGAGACCCAGCACGTGTCCGAAGGCAAGGCATCCGTGTGCCGCAGCCAGGGCTCAGCTGTGTTCACCTGCCGCGTCTTCACGCGCCGCTTCCCACGCCTGCAGCAGCCCGGGAACCCATTTTACAGAGCAGAAACGGGCTCAGAGAGGTGGGGACGCGAACCCGAGGCCACACAGCTTTGCCGTGGAGGTTTGAAGAGCCCACGCCTGGGTGCTGGGCCAGGGAGGACACTTGGCACGGAGGAGAGGACGCCAGCCCTCGAGCCCGTGCTCCAGGTGGTCCTCTTCCCCCCTGGGCCTCAGTGTGACCGTCTGTAGAATGGGTGGAGCTGGCCTTTCTCCTGCCACCCGTGTGGTCCGCCCTACGGTCCTGGGAGGATGAAGTCAGCGAGTGGGGGGTGCAGAGGCTCCAGTGGGAGGTATCCCTGCACAGCCCCGTGGGCAGCACCTGGGGCTCCCCGCCAGGCGGAGGTTAGGATTCATTCGGGCCCCGGTTCCAGGATGCTCGAACCTAAAGAAACCCGCACACCCACCACCTGCCCAGCCACCTGCACAGGCCCCCGGGGATGCCAGCTGGGCAAACAGAGCCTCCTTCCGCCTGATGTAAGTGTGGCCCCTTTTCAGGGTGACTTCTGGGAGTCTGTTTCCTCGTGGGCACACGGCCAGGTCCATTCCCGTGGTGCCTCTGCGGTCACTGCGTTTGTGCCACGGCCGCGTGGTGGTGGTGTCGGCGATGTGAGCGGGAAGCAGTGGACTCTGGCCCTTTAAGGAAGCAGCCTGCAGACACCCGGTCTAGACAGGGAAGGCTGGGTGAGCGTCTGCAAGGGAGCTCAGAGAGGACAGGGGCCAGGTGGAGCCTGGGATGTCGGGGGAGGGGCCCGAGGAGCTGGAAGGGACAACCCTGAGGGTCTGGAGTTTGCACCTGGAAGGATGTTGGGGCCATTCAGTGAATTGGGGAGCAAAGTGAGTAAGACCCTGCCTCTGGGCGGGAGGGTTTCTGGACAGCAGGGCCGTGCCGTGTGGGAGCTGAGACACTGGGAGCCCCGGGGGGGGGCATCTGGCCTGGTGGGGTCCTGGAGGAGGAGGTGATCTCCAGGTGCACGGAGGTGGTCAGTGACAAGGATGGTGGTTGGTTCTGGGGTCTGCGATGGGGCTCCAGGCACTGATTGGTGTTTTCTTAACTTCCCTGGGTGGTACTGCTTTGCACCCAGGTGGAGAACCCCTGGGCTAGGGCTTGGATGGGTGGGGTGGCCTTGTCACAGAGGGCCTCGCAGGAGGCTCACATTTCATCCAGGCCACCTTGTCTGCTTGCACCCCTCCTCAGGGCTCCACTGGGGAGCAGGTGGTTTACTGGGAGACTTGAGAGGATGCTTCAAAGAGCTTATCACAGTGCCTGACACCAAGGCAGCAGTGATACGTGGTGTTGGTACCGGTAACAAAACGGTCGCTGACGACCATGCTAACAATGGCAGGGTGCATCCTAGACCCCAGGAGTCCTCATGGTTTAGTGCAGTCCTGAAGGGACGGGTTTGGGAGACGCCGCGCCCCCTAGTGGCCATACATGAAAGTACAGCCTGTTGGTCTGTTCCTCCCTCGACTACAGGTGTGATTCCTCAATTAGGAGCCCCCCAGAAAACATGCCCCCAGAGGAGTTACTGGGACAATGGATGTGTTTGTTATTTTGAGTCTGGCGATAGGCTCCTAGTATATACACATGCCAAAGCTTAAGCAAGTTATATACTTTGAATATGTACAGTGGCTTACATGTCAGGTACATCTCAGTAAAGCGCATCTTAATTTTTAAAAGAAGACGTCCTTCCCTCCAGGGTTTGCGCCCTCAGATGAACTTATCCTGATGTGGGGCCCCACTTTCTTGGCCCTCAGGTCTCTCCCTATGGAACAGGAATCTCAGTAGGGAGGGGAGGGGTCTTTCACCAATGGAGAGAAGTCCCTGGGGCCACGGGCAGGCTCCAGCTTGGTGGGAGCTGGGGGCCCTGATGTCTGCCAAACAGTTTCCTGTCCCCTTGGCCCTCTTTGGGGTTGGCTCACGGTCCCTAACCTCTGCCCCAGGGCCCAGGCCAAGGTCAGGGTGACCTAAGCAGGGCAGACGCCACCCCTGCCCGCAGGAGGTAGTAGGTGCGAGGTTGTGCCCCCACAGAGCCCCTGTAGCCTGGCTGCCCGTGGGGGAAGCTGCAGGCCCCCCAGAATTTCAGGGCAGAGGGCATGAGCTTCATGAGGTGGCAGCTAGATGCCTGGCAGCTGGCCCAGAGCTCGGCATGGCAGTGCCCACGTCCACATCTGTTGGCTCACCGAATCATTTTGTGGCGAAGCCGCAACGTGGGTGCTTTGCTTATTAACTCTTGTCTCTCTTCACCTGTAACCTGGGCTGACGGTAGAGAGGCCAAGACAGTCCAGAGTTAAATAAACATGTGGACACGATGATTCTTGTGAAGGAAATAATTAGGTGACAGAATCTTTAATGGGTGAGGGCCCTTTAGATAATGGTGTCAAAGAAAGTCTGTGGAAGACACTGGAATTAAAAAGCAAGGAGCCCTGGCTGGGTGGCTCAATTGGTTGGAGTGTCATCCTGTGCACCGAAGGGTCTCGGGTCCGATTTCTGGTCAGAGCATGTACCTAGGTTGTGGGTTCACTCCCCAGTCAGGGTGCATACGAGAGGCAACTGATCAACATTTCTCTCTCACGTTGACGTTTCTCTCTCCCTCTACCCTCTCTTTCTCTCTCGCAAATCGATGTGTTCTCAGGTGAGGATAACAAAAACCAGCAAGGAGTTGGCCATGCAGTGGGGTTGTCAGTGCAAAGGCCCTGAGGTGCACAGTTAGCACCGCGATGCACCAGACAGCAGTCAGCATGGCTGGAGAGAGCGTGGTGATGGCACCCAGCATTTTCATAAGCTCACCGAGGGCCACGTGCTCCCCCCATGGCTTTTGTGTTCCAGTCCTTGAGTTCTGGAAATCAGTAACCTGACCAAGGTGGCGCAGCCAGGAAGGGGCAGTCAGGGCCAGGAGCGCTGGGTCAGGCCAGGCTTCTTAGCCAGTTCACGCGTTACTTTGGATTTATTCTGAGGTCTGCAGGAGGCCCTGGCAGGTTCCGAGACGCGCCCTCGAATCGGCTGTATGTTTTGGAAAGTGTAGAAGGTGCCTCTTCAGGGGCAGAGAGGGAGCCAGAGACGGTGCCTGAGAGGTGTCCGGGGCCGGGCCCGGGCAGTGGGTGCGGATGGAGGGAAGTGGACAGTGCAGGGTCTCATTTCCAGTGGGGACCTCAGGGCCAGAGCTGGGCGGACCCTTGGCCTCGGCTCTGTCCGTCTTCCCGCTCACCTGCCTCTCCCCCCGTACAGGAAGGATGCCTCTGGCCCTCGGAGAGCACCGTGTCAGGCAGCGGGATCCCAGAGGTGAGCCCCAGCGCCGTCGCCGGCTCCCTTCCCCTGTCCCCCCCCACACCTGCCCCCAACACTGCTTTAGTGGACCCAGAGGCTCCCAGCCCAGCAGGTCCCCTTCCCCGGGCGGGAGCAGTGTGGCCGCTCAGGGCTCACACTCTGCCGTCTTTGGAGAAATGTGCTGGGTGGCCTGGCTCCTCCCTGCGGGACAGGATACGCTCCCCACCCCAGGGAGCAGCCCACAGTGTCTGCCACCAGCAGGCTGCCCCCCTTCAACTCGGATGATGTTCCCACCCAGGGCTCCCGGGGGATCCTCCTGCCTGCCCTGCGGCCCTCTGTCCACTTAACCCGGAGAGCAGAGCCCCCCGCGGCACCCTTGCCCCCGCCCCTGCTTCGGGGGGCCTCACTCAGCTCTGCTCCCTCCAGCCACAGGTCTACGCCCCACCGAGACCCACGGACCGCCTGGCCGTGCCCCCCTTCACCCAGCGGGACCGCTTCCACCGCTTCCAGCCCACGTACCCCTACCTGCAGCACGAGATAGACCTGCCCCCCACCATCTCTCTGTCGGACGGGGAGGAGCCGCCACCCTACCAGGGCCCCTGCACCCTCCAGCTGCGGGACCCGGAGCAGCAGCTGGAGCTGAACCGGGAGTCGGTGCGTGCGCCCCCGAACAGAACCATCTTCGACAGCGACCTGATGGACAGTGCCATGTTGGGTGGCCCCTGTCCCCCCAGCAGTAACTCCGGCATCAGCGCTACTTGCTACGGGGGCGGCGGGCGCATGGAGGGGCCGCCCCCCACCTACAGCGAAGTCATTGGGCACTACCCCGGGTCCGCCGCCTTCCAGCACCAGCAAAGCAGCGGGCCGCCCTCCTTGCTGGAGGGCACCCGGCTCCACCACGCACACCTCGCGCCCCTGGAGAGCACGGCCACGTGGAGCCAGGAGAAGGAGAAACAGAAGGGACACCCTCTCTAGGGGTCCCGGGCGCCGGGCCGGACAGCGGTGCGTAAACGGCAAAACACTCCGCACTTCGAAGAAGAGAGAGGAAGGTGCGGGGCACACAGGGAGACGCGCATCACCACCCCCCCCCCTCTCTGTGTATAAATACTTACATGTTCTGTCTGGTCTGAATGCTCAAGCTAAGGAAGCTTGCAAAACAAACAAACAAACAAACATGTTTCTTTGTTGAGCCGTGTCTTGAAGGCAAAAGAGAAAAAAAAAAAAATTCTCCCCTAGTCTTTTCTGTTCGTAGTTGAGCTTCGTGAAGGCGTCCTTCCTCTTGTTTATGACGATTTCACTTAACTTTAAAAACATATTTGCACAAAACCTTTGTTTAAAGATCTGCAATATTATATATATATAAATATATATAAAGTAAGAGAAACTGTATGTACGAGGGCAGGAGTATTTTTGTATTAGAAGAGAGTCCTATTAAAAAAAAAGCAAACGAACACCACACCGTTGTTTTCTGAAGCAGAAGAGAACGTGGCCGTTTCGGAGTGTCGACTCGGAAAGGTATCACCTTGTGAAGAAAACAAGGACAAAGCAGGGGTTTAGAGTTATTTATATAAATGTTGAGCTTTTGCACTATTTTTAAATATAAATATGTCAGTGCTTGTTTGATGGGAACTTCTACCACGTCTGTGGAGACTCGAAGGGAGAAAAGGGGGTTCCGACGTCCGGCGAGGTGGGCGCGCGGCGGGCGCGCGGAGTCTGGAGAGGCCTCGGGCCCTTCCCTGCAGAGGGGAAGCCGCATCTAGTGATAGGTTCTTACCTCGTTACACATTCCCTCCCGGAGGGGACGCTTTTCTCCCCTCCGGGTCAGAACAGCCTTGGAATCACCCGAGCCGGGCAAGTGATTCGAGGCTCTGAGTTCCAGGTGGTGGCTTTGCCTTACCCCAAATGAAAATAAACTTTGTTACTGAAGGAATTATAGTTTTTCCTCCTATTTTTTTTTTTTTTTATCATGAAGGTCCCCCTAGGCAGGGGCTGAGGGTTCCTGCGGACACGCCAGGGGGCGCAGACGGCTTGTGCAGAATTGGGCGGTGGCTCTAGACTTTGTGGGCGAGGTCAGCGCAGTCCAGGGGCACATCGGAAAGGCCCAGAGGATGAGGAGTATGACCTCGCCCCCGTCTTTCTCTCTACCTGTCGATGCTCACCTCACCCGCCAATGCACGGAGGACCAGAGCTGAGAAAGGGACCCCCGGAGGACGAGGCCACACCCCCACTTCCTCCCGGAGACAGCCCTGCTCCGGGCTTCTTCCCGCGTGTTTTCACAGCCTCCTTCTGAGACAGGACCCTTGTGTCCCAGGGTTTTACTGAGCAGATGTGGGTGTGGCGAGCCCCCTCGTTGGCGCGTGCAGGTGAAGGGGCACGCGTGGGCACCTGTGTGCAGGCATGTGCGGTGGGGTCCCTTGGCCTCCAGTGAGGACAGTGGCCGGAGCAGGAGATCCTCCTCCCAGTGAGGACTTGCTAATATTCGTGGGTGGGTGACCCCCAGCCGGAAGAGCAGCCCCTCACCCCATTTTCAACCAGATGCCAACTAGCCCACTGACGAAGAGAAGGGTATGAGGCAATAACCAGTGTTTCTAAGCAACTTTTTTATTACTTGAAAAACAGACCTGATAACAGTTTTGAAGTTCTGACCATGTGAACTCTATTTATATATACATTTAAGAACACAGGGACCCCCAGGTGAGCGGGTCGTCTGAGTGTCCCCTGACCAGCCTGGCAGCACCGTAACGATAAAACCTGCCTCCTGAAATCGGTTCCCCTCAAAGAGGATTCTTTTCCAAGTTCGTGCAGAGAAGTCAGTGATAGTCTGTCCTAAAAGGTACAGGGACACATTTGTAAATAACATTTTTAAAGGCGTGTCTTTCTGTGGAGGACCGCCCTAGTGCCTTACTGAGGAAGCATTCGGCTCTGGTCACCAGCCCGGCGTCCCGGACGCTGCCCGGCCCACCCGGGACTGGCCTTCCCACTCTGTCCGCAAAGGGCTGCTGCTTCCTTTCTGACGTCCCCACCGCCCTCTGCCGTCCCACCTGCACGCACCTCCTTTGGTCAGGTCCCCTCCTGCCCCCAGTCTCCCTTGGCAAGCACTGTGCTTACTGCCCACCGGGGCCGAAAGCCTAGAAGTGGACCTCATTTGTGTGAGTAGCATCAGCCAAAAGCCAGCCTGCAGCAGCCCCGGGGTCCCCGAGCCAAACTCTGAACCTTGTTGCTGGTGGCGTGGTCCGGATCGGCTGTGTATTCTGAGTCAGAAGGAAGCTGGAGGGTAGCTGACCTCAGCTGGTTTGAGGGCAGACACGTCCCTCTGGCCACACCCCCGTCTTGCGGTCCAGGCCACCGTGCCACGTCCCTGGGCTGCATGCCCAGCAGGAAGTACATGGCCGAGCACCTCGAGCAAACCAGTGCTGTGTGTTTCTGGAAGTTACCGCCGTAGCTCTTGGTTTCTCTGTGGACCTCAGAGCTGGAGGGTGGCGCACTCTGTCCTCTAGCTGTTGGCTTTCATGCCATTGTCTTTGCAAATCCTTTGAGCACCCCTCAAGAGGCCCCCTGTTTCCAGTAGAGAGTTGGGGGGTCTTCAGAAGTGGCTGGTTGGAGGGGGACCAGGTTGGGCTCAGAAAAGGGGGCAGAGCTCAGCTTTCTGTAATGTTCATTGTTTTCCTGCTTGTCAATCGTCATGTCCCCCGCCCCCCTTCTCGCTAAGTCCACTAAGAGCCATCGTGTTCCCCCAAAGCCCAGTGTTTGTGCAAAGAGCTGAAAGTGACTAATGTTCCACCCGGCGAGCGCCAAATCCGTTCCCTGTCCTTGTCCGTCTTCTGCACGGTACGTTTCAGAGATTTCTTTTCTCTACGTGCAACACAAACCTTCCGGATCCTTAAAACACCCCAATGATATAAGGAAAGAGATTTTGAACCCCGAAATCCGCGCTTCAAGTTGTGTGTCCCCATAGGGCTGAAGGACGCCACGCTCCTGTTCGCCTGCCCGCCCCCTGGTGGCCTGCCGCGCGGCGCTCACCTGCTGCTCTCGCGTCCACTCGCCCCCTCTGCCACCCGTGTCCCGGTTCTGTTGAACTGTAACCCTTCCGTGGCACGCCGCGTGCAGGGCCCACGTCGCTGCTGCGTTAGACTGTTTGGATGCCAGTCCACAGGCCTGATGAAATCGCTTGTGTATCATAATCATTAGTGCAATGATGACATTCTGAAAAGCTGCAAGACTTATACAATAAATTTTACAATTCTTTGGAATGAGGCTGTTGTATTTCTTTGGTCGCTCCTCTGCCCCCACCACCCTCAGCAGCAACGCCAGGACCCCACGGAGCTGCGGTGTGACCTTGACCAAGTCCTCTGTCAAGGGCAGGAGCCCGGAGCCAACACTTGCTCAGGGAGGTGGTTTTAACGAGAGCTGGTATTGGAGTTAAAAGAATCTCCAAGACATTGTCTGTTTTTCCTCCTTGGAAAAGCATACACCACCATAGCATGACGGAGGTCCTGATAAGGTCTGCAGGAAAGAAACTGAGGTAGGGCTCTTACAGAATTAAACTCTGAGACATGCCCGTCTGCAGGGATGGTCACGGTTGTCTCGCAGGGGACACCATTTGGGGAGTTGGGAAGAGGACCAGCAGGAATGAGCCACAGAACCCTGAAAGGGATCCCAGGGGGTCTGAGTAAGACACTCACAGTGCCCATGACAGAAATGTGTTTACTTCTCTTTAATGTTTGATACACATTTTTTAAAAAATCAGCCTAGCCCTGGCCGGTGTGGCTCCGTGGTTAGAGCATCAGCCCACACTGAAGGGTTGAGGGTCTGATTCCCAGTCGGGCACCTACCTGGGTTGCAGATTTCATCCCGGCCCCAGTCAGGATCTGTGCAGGAGGCAATTGATATGTGTGTCACATCGATGTTTCTCTCTGTCTCTCTTCCACTCTCAAAATCCATGGAAAAAAATCTCCTTGGGTGAGGATTAACAGAAAAGCAAACAAACAAATCAGCCTGAACAGAGTCCATAACCCGCAGCACTGACCAGTTTGGCCTCAGTCCCAAGGTTTCCTGAACTCTCACGCTGCACAGGGGCAGAGCTCAGCCCGCACTGCCTGCTCCCCCTCCCTGGGGCACAGAAACCTGAGCTTTCAGACTCGGAGAAGCCACGGAGCTCCTGGCGCCTCAGTGCCAAGAGCAGGTGGGCTCCGGAGCCCGAGTGCCTCCCTTGCTGACCCTCAGCCACCTCATCTGTGGAATGGGTTGATGGGTTTGCATAGAATCAAATGCTCCTGGGAGCTTCTGGATCACACAGCTAGCTCACCTCCCCAGGGAGCCGGGGCAGAACAGGGCCTTTCTCAGCCAGGTGGGGGAGTCGGGTTCTAGTGGAAGGGAGATCCCCCCCACCCCTCTCTGAGAACAGCCGAAGCAGTATCGCCACATCGACCAGTTTAATGACTGAGCTGAGAGCAGCCGGCGTGTTTGAGCATCTGTTGGGTTACAAGCGCGATGCTAAGTCATCGGCAGAAGGCGGCTGCTCGTTTGCGTGCGGAGGAGGCTGCTGGGGGTACCAGGCCTGAAAGAACTCACCTGGGACCACGGCACCGTGCGGTGAGGGCAAGAGTGGACTGTTAGAAGCGAGAGGGAGGTTCGTCAAAGGCTGGGTCACTGAGCTGAGAGAGTGAGGAGAAAAGGAAGGGGAGGTGACGCAGGTACCTGCTTGAACACAGGCCACCAGGGGACCCGGCCGGCTCCTGCACAGACCAGAGAAGCGGGGCTGAGCCTGGAGGCGGGGCTGAGCCCCTCACACCCTGCATGGTGGGCGGCCAGGAAGGGTGCTGGGTGTGGCTGATAGGGAGCGGGGGCACCCAGGAAATGATTAGGAACATCACACGGGTGATCAGAAGGTGGCCAGGAAAAGGGCCGAAGGCTCCATGTAGAGCCGATCCAATAAGCAGGCATCGCACACCCATCGTGGGCCAGCAGCACCCCGCCTGCGCCGGGGACGCAGCTCCGCTGTGACGCTGGGTTCCGCGGTCCTCGGGTTTCAGGGTGGAGGTTTGTCTGTGGTCTCAGCTCTCTAGCAGGTTAAGGAAACACCGATTTCCTGTTTGTCCGCCGTCTCTCCTTGTGAGGATAGGCGTGATGACTTCCAGGCTGTTTTCGTGTCAGAACCGAAACAAGTTCCCTGGATCGTTTCTAATTTTAAAAATTGAGATAAAACTTATATACCATACAATTCATCTTTTTAAACGCACAATTCAGTGGGTTTTGGTATAGGCACAAAGTTGCACAACCATCCCCACTATCTGATTCCAGGACGTTTGCACCATCCTCGATGAACACCCCCCTTCCCCCCCACACACACACCTGGCAACCAATGATCCACTTTCTGTTTCCATGGATTTGCCAACTTGAAACATTTATAAGTGGAGTCATACAGTATGTGATCTTTTTCTTATATTATGCGTCTGGTTTCTGTTACTTAGCATAATGTTTTTCAAGGTTCACTCAGGTTGGAGCAAGCATCAATGTATTCTTTTCGGTTGAGTAACATTCCATCGTGTGGACACATTGTTCCCGTTGTTCATCCCTGCACCGGTTGGTGAACACGGGCAGTCTCCACATTGGGCTAGTATGAGTAATGCTGCTCTGAATATTCACGTACGAGGCTTTGTACGGATATACGTTTTCATTTCTCTCGGATGTAGACCTCGAAGAGGGGCTAATTAGCTTCATCATGTGGCAATTTCTATTTAATTGCTTGAGGAACCACCAGGCTGCCTTCCTCATCCGCAGTGCCAATTCACATTCTTTTTTTTTTTTATCCTCACCCGAGGACATTTTTCGATATTTTGTTCAGATAGAGTGGGAGGGAGAGAGAGGAAGAGAGAGAGAGAAACATCGAAGTGAAAGGGACACATCGAGTGGCCGCCACCCGCACGACCTGACCAGGGCCGGGGACAAACTACAGCCGAAGTACATGCCCTTAGCGGGAACCGAACCCGGGTCTCTGTAGACCGCAGGCCAATGCTCTAACCGCTGAGCCAAACCGGCCAGGGCCCAATTCACATTCTAACAGCACTGTGTGAGGGCCCCGATTTCCCCACTTCCTCACCACCATGTGCTGTTTACCTTTACGAAATCACTACTATCCAGGCACAGACTTGTGCAACCCTCACCTCTCTCTAGTTCCAGCATGTCTGCACCGTCCTGGTGGGTGTGAGGTGCTATCTCACCGTGGTTCGGTTTGCATTTCCTTGATGTTGAACGACGGTGGGCACATGTTCACCTGCTTGTCGAACCCCTGCCTCTCTTCTTTGGGGCAATGTCTATTCACATCGACCTGGATATGCGCCCTGACCGGGAATCCAACCCGAGACCTTTCGGTGTGCGGGGACGGCACGCCAACCGACTGAGCCAACCCAGGGCCCTTTGCCCATTTTCTTATTTGGGTGATTTTTCTTTTTTATTGTTGAGTTCTAATATGTATGTTCTGGATACTAGATCGCAACTAGGTATATAGTTTGCAGAAAAATCTCTCCCATTCTTTATGTTGTCTTTTCACCTTCTTTAGCGTGTTCTTTGAAGCACAAAATGTTTTAATTTTCACGAAGTCCAGTTTATTTATTTATTTATTTATTTATGTATTTCTTAGTCTGTCTCTTGGGTTTTCTGGTGTTATATTTAAGGAACCATTGCCCAAACCCAAGGTTTCCTCTTAAGAGGTTTCTAGGGCTAGCTCTTCTCTTTAGGTCTTCAGTCTGTTTTGAGTTAATTTTTGTATTTGGCATAAGGTGGATGTCCCATGTCCTTTGCTTCCTTTGTTGAAAAGACTCTTCTTTCCCCTGTTAAATCGCCTTGGCACCCTGGTCGAGGATCGATCTACCACGGTGGCGTGGGCGGTGTGGGTCTATTTCCGGACCTCACTGAGCGGTGTCTCCCCTGACGTCAGCTCTGCACAGTCCTTCTTACTGTAACTGTGCAGGGACTTTCAAGAGGTGTCTACCCTCCAGTTCTGTTAGTGTCAAGATTGTTTTTGCATATTCTGGGACCCTTAAGAATCTGAGGGTCAGCTTTTCAATTTCTACAAAGCAGCCAGCTGAGATGTCAGTAAGAATGACACCGGATGGGTAGAGCAGTGTGGGGGCGGCGGCTGTCTCAGCCACAGCAAGTGTCCTGAGCCATGAGCGCAGGGGGCCTTTCCATCGATGTAGAACTTATCTCGCTTCCTTTCTGTGACCTTCTGCTGCCCTCAGTGTGCGCGTCTTGCATGGGTTTTTGTGAGTCTGTTTGTTTTTGCTAAACTTATTTCTAAGTAATTTGTTCTTTTTGATCCTTCTGTAAACGGAATTGTTTTCCAGATTTTATTTCTGACTCTCCAATTGCTAGTCTATGAGAAGGCAGCTGCTTTTTAATCATCGTAGCAAACCTGCAACCCTGCCGCACTTGTTTGTTAGGTCTGAACGGTCGATTTCCACAACCGAAGAGCAAAGCAACGGAGCTGGGCGAGATCACACGCCACCAGGTACAGACGTGCGCATGCGGTTAGGAAGGTGTCTGTCCCAACCTTCAGAAGTCTCATCTGTCTCCTGCTTTCCCTTTCAAGCAGCTTCTCCTCTCCTGTCTCACCTGGATCATTTCTGAAAGCTCTAAACCAAACGAGAAGATGCTTGTTTCCCATTGTCCCCCCAAAAGTCCCAGAATTAAATCCCACTGGCTTGGCTTAGGTCATGTGCCCATCCACCGACCAATCACTGCAGCCACAAGAAGAGAGTGCTCTGATGGGCCAGGTGCGGGTCACAGGCCCTGCCCTGGACCTGGAGGTGTGGTCAGCTCCCTTCCATCCACAGGGATTGAGAAGGGGGAGAGGGGATCCCCCAAAGGGAAACCGGGAGTCCTGGCTGGGGAGTTCAGCTGGTTAGAGCGCCCTCTGGATACCCCAAGGCTTGGTGTTTAATCTCCAGTCAGGCCACATCAACCAATGAGCGCAGAAACAAGGGGAACAGCACATCACTGTCTGTCTGTTTCAAATCAATAAATTAAAAAAAGGAAAACCAGGGTGATTTTACCAGAAGGGGGCTGAGTGCTAGTCAGCTAAAAACAGCAGATGGCAGGACACTGGGCAGTCAATGCATTAACGACGGAGCTGTTCATGCACCGCAAGCCGAGCCCCGCCAGCCCCCGCCGCCTCCTTCGCGCCGCGCGTGGGGGGGGGGGGGGCACCCGCACCAGCCCTTCAGCTGGCTCTGCGCTGCTATTTGTTGAGATCGTGTCAGCGTGTCTGGCTTCCTGTCGCCGGCGGAGACGGAACGTGCGAGTGCGGACGGATGTGCGAGCCAGCGAGGGAGACAGAACACGCCGGAGTCTGCCAAGTCGGCTTCGCGTTTTCTTTTACACTTTGTACAGTTGTCCCCAAGAAGGAGAACTGTTTCTAAAAATAAAACAAAATATTATAAAAAGCTTCACACTCCGATGGCTTGGAACAAATGATGGGTTTGAATGTGCAAATCAATGTAGGAAACAAATGCCCATCCGTGTGTGCACGTGTGTGTGTACGTGGGCACTCGTGTGCACGCGTGTGTGTGCTCGTATGCCCGATGGGACCCCGCTGCCCCCCCCCCGCATCTCCCTCTCCCCGCCCTCTGTGCACCCCCTGGCGCGACTGGTTACCCTGAAGGCGGAGGGCAGGAACCATGTTCAGCTTATTAAAAGGCTTTCACTGGGCTCGAAATAATTAAATTTGTCTTTAAAAGCATCGAACTTGATTGAATGAGCAGTTGAAAAACGGGTTTTTACGTTCACGGAGTTAGGTTCTTCCTCCCGCCTGCTCTCTGCAGGGGTGAGCAGGGATGCCACCGGGCAGGACCGTCCAGGGCTGGCTCTGCGGTTACTTGCTCCAGATTCAAATCCTCCCTCCTCTGGAGCACACCCCACACACTCGGGCCACAGCCCCGGGACCCCTCTCTCTTACCATGTGTGGCTCCCATTTCACCTTTTACCTTCTGGGCGTGGAAGTCTTAGCACTCAGGCTCCAGAAGTCTTTGGAAATGTTTGTGTTCCAAAATGCAGGGGGAAGACTAGCGAAATCAGAACCCAGACATGTTTAATTAAACGTCTAGACAACCTGCCCGGCCAGTGTGCTCAGTGGATGGAGCGTCCTCTCGTGGACTGAGAGGTCCCGGTTCGATTCCTGGTCACTGGGGGCTTGATCCCCAGTGGGGGGCGTGCAGGAGGCAACTGCTTCATGTTTCTCTCTCATATCAATGTTCCTCTCTCTCTCCCTTCCTCTCTCTCTAAAAATTAAAAAAAAATCAATAAAACATTAAAAATGTTTAAAAGTCTAGAAAACCTAACATGTCAAGTTCATTAAGTGTTCCATTTAATCATAAAACTTTCATTACACTTAATTACATTTAAAACAAATTTACAAGTGAAATCATCTCACTTTGAGAGAATTCCCAAGACACGCGGTGAAGAATTTGTGGACAATTGTAATTAAATGAATTTCTTGTAGGCAAATAATTTTGGAAGTGAAATGATTTTTTTTTAATATCGTTTGATTATAAAAATATAAGTTAGATGGAAATTCATTCCAATTTATTTGTTGGGGTGAGGGCAAGGACCTCCCAACAAGAGCTGGTGGGGGAAGGTATAAGAACAGCCCGGTGCTGGCCACATCCCCCTCCCTGGCCCACCTCCTCCGCCGTTCTCCCGCACCCAGGACCCCCTTTCCAAATTCCCATTTTGCTTGGGTGAAAATCCTCCAGTTGCCCTTCCTTTGTCCCTGAGAAAAATCTCAAGTTACTAGCACAGCTAATTCCCTGGCCCCGTGCAGCTCCCTAACTCTGCACCACTGGCCCTGGTCCCCTTTCCAGGCCGGCACTGCGGAGAGTGGGGGTGGGGCAACCCAGGACTTGGCCTGAACCACTTGTCTGTCCCTGGATTGGGCACTATGGCCCCTTCTGCAGCCGGAGTGGGAAGCGGAGCCAGGAAGCAGGGAGGGGGCCTTCCTCCTGCTCCCCCTTCCCTGCCAGGCTCCATGTGGCCTGGGATTAAGAAATGATTTGGTGAGTGACCGGCTGGGACTGCTCTCGGAGAGGACGGTTGGAGGTCCTACAATGCGGACACGACGGCTCCTGTTCACTGAGCACATGCTCTGTGCTCTGAACACCTCAGGGCAAGATCTCCTTAACCTTGGCGACCACCCCACCTCTGAGCCTCAGAATGAGGAGGGGCTCGCTCCGGGCACAGAGCTCAAAGGCGGGGGTGCCAGGTCCAGAGCCCCAGGCCTGGCTCCAGGGGACGCGATGACCCAGCTCTGCCTTGAAGAGCAGCGGACTGACGGACGGACGGACGGACGGACGGAGCCTTGGACGCTGCAGCTCGGCTGGTCTTGGTTTCTCTCCGCCCTCTGCCAGCTCCTGCGACCTGTGCACTTCCCATCCCTCTCTGGCCACCTCCAGTTCCCCGACTTGGCCCTTGACCAGAGACATGGTACTCTCCACACTGGGTGCCTTCTGACCTTTCCACTCTCACCCCCGGGAGGACTCCTCAGAGGAAACGTGAGAATAGCATCCAGGCTGCCGGAGAGAAAGGAGCCGGTTTCGCCAACACAGAGTGTGGTAAAAATATCTTTTAAAAGAGAGAGAGGGAGAACTCGAAAGACTCGAGATCAGTGACATGTCATTATCATCTGGTTTGGGCGGAGACTTCTAATAGTTTCCAGAAAAACACAAGCCACAGAAAAGGACTCTGCTTTTCGGAGCAAAAGCGATTGGGCTCAGCAGGCAGGGTGCCCTCTGGGATCTCCTGTGGCCGCTGACACCGCTCCCCGGCGGAGGAAGGGGGCCCCGGCGTCCCTGCCTCTCCCCCTGTGCCTTCCACACCGGACAGCAGGCTCTGCGAGTGGACGCTGCCCTTGAACTCAGGCTCGGACCTGATTAATGCACAGGTGCCGTGGGCGGCCATACGCACAGGCACAGCGGAGGTACCCCCGTTCCTTCCCCAGAGGAACAGCGGAGCCTCTCAGTGGAAGGGACAGGTAGGTACTCCCCAACATCTGTTGTCCCACATTTTTAAGTACCCAAATCCCCACTTTAAGCCAGGTACAACGCGGCCCAGAATAAAGAGCGTCCTTCCCAGCCTCCCTTGCCGGACACGAGACGAGCGGATGCTGATGGGGTGTGTGCAACTTGCAAGTGTTCTTAAAAGGGAGCGACAGGCTCTCCTCCCCTTTTCTCCTTCCTGCTGCAAAGAACTCCGATGTGAAGGCTGGAGCTCAGGCAGCCATCCCAGAACACAAGGCCAACCTCAAACAAGGGCCACAAACGGCAGAGCCACAAGATAGGAGGGGCCTGGGTTGCAACACCACGGTGTGCCCCACGACACCTGGGCCACCTATCCGACTGTTTGAGGAGGAAGGAAGGAAGGAAGGAAGGAAGGAAGGAAGGAAGGAAGGAAGGAAGGAAGGAAGGAAACATTTGGATTGGTTAAGCCTCTGATATTTGGGGTAAAGACCATCTTTAAAGTCAAATTTACCCTGAAAATCTCTTAAACTGAGAAGAGGAATAAAAGAGCATCCAACTCTTGAGACGTGAGCACCCGCTCAGTGTGGGGAGAGTTCCCGCAGGTCCGTGGCCCCACGCATTCCCGCCGTGCCCTGCAGTGCCAGGCGAGGTGGAACCCACCCACGGCACATTGTTCTTTTCTTTCTCTTTCGCCGTCTTCCTTGTGCCCAGTGCCTACGGCTATGTCGCAGAGCTGCATCCCACACATTCTTAACTTCCGAGAACCCACTAAGTGTCCTGTGGACGTGTCTTTCTTCTTGATTGTTGCTGTTTTATAGACGAAGACGCGGAGGCTCGGGCAGGCTGGGAGCCGCAGCCCGAAGCAGGGCCTGCCCTGGGGAGGAAGCGGGGGGACCCTTGTCCTGGCAGCCCCTCCCGGGCGCCCGGCTTCCCAGCACAGGGGTTCCTGCCGCACCTTCCTGGGGACCACTCGGAGCCAGGGTGGCGGCCACATGCACTGGGGCTAGGAGGGGGCCATCCAAACATGGCCCGATGGCCACGAGAGTGCCAGGCTTCATCTCTGAGACACAAGTGGTCCTTCCAGAAGCCCACCTGACCCTCAGGTTGCAGCTTGTGCCCCTCAGCCGGACCTGCAAGCCCACCAGGCCAGGCACCTGGGTCAAGGCCCCGGCTTGGTGCTCCTACACTAAGAGGTGAGCAGCACCCAGGGATGGAGTTAAGGAGCCCGAGAGGCCAGGGAGGGTGGGGGAGAAGCCGAGGTTGGGCCAGATGGACTCGGGTTTCCCTGGGGAGATGTTGGGTGGGAGGTTGCCCTTCAATCAGAGGGAGCAGGGCCGGCGCCCAGGTCGGTGAGCGGGTGCCACCTGGTGGCCAGTCCCGACAAGGCGTCTTCCACAATCTTAAACACCCGCAGCCTCCCCACCCTGCGTTTAAAATTAATACTGCCAGTTCATACAGAGATACAGGTTACTTCGGTTTTGCATCAACAGGGAACAAAAGCATCATTGTGGTTTCCTGTTTGTTTATTTTAAAAATATGTTTGTATTGATTTTTTTAGAGAGAGAGGAAAGGAGAGAGAGAGAGAAACATCCATGTAAGAGAGAGACACTGATCAGCTGCCTCCTGCACGCCCCCCACTGGGGATCGAACCCAAAACCCAGGCATGTGCCCTGACCAGGAATCGAACCGGGACCTCTCAGTCCACGGAACGACGCTCAGTCCCCTGAGCCACACTGGCCGAGTGGTTTTCTGGTTTTATCGAGTGATCAAACTTTGCACTGTCGCAACGTGTCAACGGCATCACCTGGGATGCTGGGCCCTGCCCCCAGAGGTTCCAATATAACTGACCTCGTGGTGGACTGGACATCAGGGCCTCTCCACAAGACGCTGGGACCCTTTTCCTTCGCTGCTGTCGCTGCTCGTAACCCTTTGCAGAAATGCTGCCCGGAGAGTGTCCCCCAAGGGAGCACGGACATCTGCTGGCCCGCCCAGGCCTCTGCCGCTGGGACCTCGAGCCCAGGCGCTTCCTGAGTTGAGTTCTTGATCCTCTTGGCTGCCTCGCATAATGCTTTTCATTTCTGCATGCCTCAGTTTCCCCTCTAGTACCTGAAAAAGAGCAGTGGTTCTGAACTGCTTGGGGGTCACTTATGAAAGTGATGGGGTTCTTCCCCTGAAACGCGTGGGTACCCGATTGTGCTCATGACTGTAAATAACACTGGAAGTAAATGGGGGCACAGAGAGGCGAGATCATGTGCCCAAGGTCACACAGCCAGTAAATGGGGGGGGGAGGGGGCTGGGTTAAAACCCAAGCATTTCTGTGGCCTTGGACAAGTTTCCTCACTGGCCGGAGCCTCAGTTTCCCCTCTGAGAAGAGGCCAGTACTAGTCCGTGCCCTGTAGCTGAGTTAGGGAGGCACATGAGATTTGAAAGCACACAATAGGTGCTCATTAAAGAGAGTTGTCATTTGGAAGCACACAGGGTCATGGGCACCATCCACTCACCCAGGTGCCCTAGCCTCCATGTGGGTGGTCAGGGTAGGCATCGATGGGCACCTGGGAGCTGCTCAGCTCTTCCCTGCCAACCTCTAGTCCACTCCCTCTTGCTCATCAATTCTACTTTCAAGTTCGTTTCTTTCTAAAGCAACACACAGAAGTTTCACTTTCCTTTCTCCACAACACTGAACGTCTGGGCTCCCTAGACCTCTGTTTCCGGGGTGTGAACAGCTGACAGCTGGCCCATAAAGCTGGCCCCCATCACATCTGCCTGAGACCGAGGTTCAGCCACGCGGGGACACCCAGCCTCGATCCAGCCCACCCTCACGAGGCCACAGGACAGGAGACAGCCACTGCACCCCCAAGTCTCCCGGGACTCCTAGCAGCTGCTGTTAGCATGGCCCAGGCGTCTGTGGACCCAGACGAGACAGGTACTTTCCCCTCCCAGGAACAGCGGGGATGGACGTGGGGGGCCGGGGGGCTGGCTCTCCTTTGCTCACCCCAGATAATAGCAGGGACAGTGCCCTGGGCACCGGGCACCATGCTCGCCATGCATTTCACCATCACCTCAGCGAGGGGCACTGTGCTGTTCCCATGTTCCACGTGTGCTCGCCGAGGCCCTGGGAGCTAAAATGACTCAGGGCCTCCGGCAACGCTGGGGGCTGGGTGTGTCGTCACATTCCTTTTGAGAAATAGCAGTTGCTCTGCTCAGAGGTACACATTCCCCCTGCTGCGCTCTCCCTCTGACCACACTTCACTCCTGGGAGGACACGGTGGGGGTGGCCCCGTACTGAGCGATGGCTGCGGTCCAGGCCACCCCTGGGGGCTGGGGGCTGGGGGCTGGGGGCTGAGGCTGTGGCTGGGGTTTTGTGGTTTTGTTGTTGTTATTGTTATAACTCACATCCTCACCACCGTCTTTGAAGTAGCTGCTATTACCCCCACTTCACAGATAGAGAGACTGAGGCACAGAAAGGTCACACTGCTCTAGGTAGCAGAACTGGGGCTCACACCCAGGAAACTAGCCTCAAAGAAGAAAAAGGAAGAAAAGAGGGGTGTGCTGGGGACGGGGGAGGGGAGGGTGTGGCCCAGGCTCGGCTGGTTTCCAGGTTCCTGTCACACTTCCCCAAGGGGCAAGTAGGTACCAGTCAAGGGCACTCGGCAACCGCTGTTCACTTCTTCCCTGGTGGGCTCTCCTCCCCTTGTCCACGTGTCACTCACGCCTCGTCCCTCTCTCCACTTCCCCTTCGCTGGAGGACGCAGCTTCCTTGCTGCTCCGGGGACGCCGGGGAGGTGGAGGAGGGCGGGAGGAGGCTCCGGGCCAGGACCACCAAGAATCAACTCTTCTCAGGACGAAGCAAAGTCGAGTGTGTGGTTGATTGCTTGAGGATTTCCAGTGGCAGATGACTGTGGGGGACAATCAGGTGGGTGCAGGGGTGAGCACCCCGGGGATCCTGATTGCACCTCACCTGCCGGGCACGGACCTCAGCACTCTGACCGCGAAGGCACCGCAGCCCCGCTGCAGAGTCCGGAACTGGGCTGTCCCTTCCCCACCCCACTGCCACCAAGGAACCTGGGAACAGCCAGAAGGCAAAGGATCGGATAAGGCCACCACCCTGGACGAGGACCCAGACCTCCCGGAGAAGGCCCTGCTTTGCATTTCCCTTGGGGTTCCTGGGGGCCAGTGTCCCCCGGAGATGGGCTTCTGCACCCGGTGCTCCTGTACCCCGTCCCGCACTCCCCGGAGAGCAGCTGGCTGGCTTTGGGGGATCGAGGGGGGGGATTTGAGAGAACCAGGAACAGTGTGTCTAGGACAAGCCACACCACAGACGGGGGTGGGGGTCCAAGAGGAGGGTGGGGTTTGAAGGGATGGGGCAGATCTGCCCTCCCCTCCCCCTCCTGTCCCTCCATGCCCCTCTGCTCTGAGGACACCGCGCCCAGCATGCCCTTGGAACCACTCACAGCAGGTAGAGGACACGGAAAGGCCGGGGCACCTCCTCTGGCCACCAGGCTGTCCAGCTAAGGTCATTTCTGACCAGCCCAGTGCCCCTCGCTGAACAGCGGTGTTGACGATGTCTCTTCTGGCCTGGGCCCCTTCCACGTGGGCCCCCCTGCTCCGGGCCTCCCCCAGCTCTCTCCCCGCCCCCTCTCCCCTCCCAGACCTGGAGCAGAGGATCCTGAGGGTGTTGAAGGAGGCTGGCTCCCCTATGAAGGCTGCCCAGCTGGCAAAGGAATGCCAAGTGCCCAAGAAGAAACTCAACCAAGTTCTCTACCAGATGATGCCAAAGGCACAGGTGGTCCTCACTGACCGCGCAACGTGGCGCTTAGGCGAAGTTGGGGCTGGAGAGCTGGTTCCCACAGAGCCAGCCCAGCTCAGCCTCGGTAACCGGCCATCCTGGGGGCGGGTGGGACCCAGGGCGGGTGGGACCCAGCACCAGCAATCCCGGCCAGGCACAAGCCTGGATTGGGGCCTGGGGGGTCATGTCCCCTCACCGCGGCTTGGCTTTCTTTTCTGGCCAAGAAGAGGTGCTCAGCAAAATAAAGTATTAAGAACAACAACAGAAAGTAATGATGACAATGGTAGTGACGGTGATAATGGAACCGAGTTAGCATCACCCAGGATCCCCTCATCTAGTCCGTAGCCCACAGAGTAAGGAGCTGACGTTTGTCAGGTACTTACAAGGGGCCAGGCGGAGCTGGGGTTCACCTGGATGGTAAGAGGCAGTGTTCGGCCCCTTCCCAGACGTGCTCGGTAGCGAGGAAGCTGGCCAGCTGGAAAGAGGCTCGGCATGTGCCAGCGGCCCCCCTCGCCGAGTGGAGTCCCCCGTCCTGTGCCTCCCCTGACCCCTCTTCCCTTCTCCAGCAGAGAGACCCCGGCAAGACATAGTGGCCATTCCACAGAAGCCTGGTTCTCAGCTCAGTCAACAGCGTAAGCATCTGGGTTTCCTTTCCGCTCCTGGGATGTGGGGCCCGTTTCCTCTGACCCCCCAAATTCTCCTTGGCCACTTGAAATGTCAGGAGTGTTCAGGGGCCACGCTGCCCCCCACTGAGAGGCTTCAAGAAGTGCTCAGGGGCAATCCCTCCACGGGGGAGAAGCCAAACGCCCGAGCACCGACCTCTCCAGGGGGCTGGCTTTCACCGTGGAAGTCCTGGTGCGGGCACTGCCCAGAGCGCTGGGTCCCTCCCCCGCCCTCAGGACGGCTCCCATGTGCATTGCTGTCCACACTTTACAGATGGGGAGACTGGGCACCGAGGGGCGAGGTCTGCCCGGGGGTCACTCAGCTACTGAGCAGTGGAACAGACTCAAAATCAGGGGGTCCTTCCTAACCCCCCGCCGTCCTGCCTCCCAGAGGAACAGATCTATGGGTTTCTGAGAGCCAGAGGGCCCTGTAAGGCCCTAGTCATCGCCCAGTTCCTGGGGAAGAAGACAGCAAAAGACGTCAACCCGGACTTGTACGACATGAGGAAAAGTCACCTGTTGGACCTTGACCCGAATTCAAAAGCATGGGCGGTCTATCAACCAGGTGAGCCCTTCCGTCTTCCTGCACCCGGGCAGGGCAGAGGGAGAGACTCTGAGGCCAGCACGCGGCCCTGGCTGGGCACCCTGCTAAGCACTCGGCCTGCTCCGCCTTCAGACGTACCAGAGGCTCGCGGTGGTCCTGCTGACCAGCCCCTGGAAGGGGTTCTAGGAGGCAGGGGCATGCTGGTGGGAGTAACCAGGGAGGGCTTCCTGGAGGCGGGGCTTGAGGCCGTAGTTGCAGAAAGCAAGAGGCTGGGAGCGGGTGCCCCACTCCTGACTGGATCAGCCCTGGTGCAGGGCTCAGCCTGTGTTTGCTGACAGTTTTCTGTAGGCACTTTGCCCAACGTGAAGCTGTGAAGTCGCTGAAGAAGACCAGGGGCTCAGATAGCTGCAGGGTGGAGCCCAGAGCGACTTATCCACGAGGCGCAGCAGGCTTGGGGCCCAGGGCCTCCGGGCCTCTGCCGGGTCCACGGGGATGTTCTCATTTCTCTTGAAATCAGAAGAAAAAGGTGAACGGAATAACAATGAGTAGCTAATCATGACTCGCCTGGTTTATCTGTCTTTCTCTCAAAGACATAGCAGGTCATCTTAAATATGTTGAGAATGGAGGAAGGGCCCACAAAGGCCCCAGAGCCCAGGGCCCACGAGGGTGGGAGTGTGGCTCCCTGTGGAGTCAGCGATGCCTCAGGCAGCTAGCTGCCCAGTGGGCCAAAGTGGGGCAGAGGCCCCTGCTCACGGAGACCCCCAACTGTGACAGCAGCCAGATTTTAAACACTGGTGACAAACTCAATTCTTCAAAATGCCTTGTGAGGCAAACAGAGTGATCTGGGCCAGAAAGAGCCCCTGGACAGCCCCCCGCCACCTTGGCAGAGAGCACTCAGAGGCCAGCAGGCGTCAGCCTCAGGGGGAGGGGCCGAGGGCGGGGCGAGCAGGGAGGCCCCTCCATTCACCCTGGGGAGCAGAGGACCACAGGTAGGGTGACCTGCTGTGACGATGTCCATGGGACAGTCAACTGAGATACCGGGGCATTTGTCAAACATGCCAGTTCCTGGGTCCCCCCTAGGGCCTAAGGACTCAGCACCCCCGAGTATTTCCCAGCGCCTCAGGAGATTTGGATGCTGTGAGCTGGCATTTGGAACCCCTGAACACTCCAGAGGTGCAAAGGGGTTGAGTGAGATATTATTCTGCAGAGGGTCCCGCGGAAAGAAGTCAGCCCTCCACAGTCATTTACCAGAAAAATCCGGTCATGATCTATCAGAACGGACCGAACAACCACATCTCCATCGAGAACTCTGAAGCAGTCCAGATCGGACACTGGAACAGCATAGTGCAACAAACTGCCCCTTGGGACAGCGGTGAGATCTCTGAGGGACACCCCAAGGGGCGCCTCGGGCCGCTGCTCTGTCGGCGGGCGCAGGGGAGGGGGGCACTCAACTCTCTGAGGAGAAAGGGTGGCCTCCCGATCGCCAAGGTCCTCCTTGGTGGCCTCCTGAGAACAAGGAAGTCTTTCTTCATGCCTGGATCAAACCCTTCCTGATTCCCCTTCATTCCAATACCTTTAGTCTCACTTTCCAGGGGACCCTATTTTTCCCATGAGAAGCAATTCAATTCACTCCCCCTCAGTAGAATGTCGCAAGGAGTCCTTGCGGTGCTTTGTTTATCCTGAGACACCGTTTTCCCCCACATTATGACATCTTAGGAATCGGAATGTATCTCACGGTGGCATCCTAGTTTTGATGAAATACGGTCCTGCCAGGCACTGTGGTGAGAGGGCACAGGGCCACCCCTCAGTACAGCCATGGGCCACCAGTGAGAGCATCAGCCCAAAAGTTGGAACCCTTGCTGGGCCCTCAAGAGAACCCTTCTCTGCTCTGGGCCTCAGTTTCCCCAGCTGTGAAAGAGGAATTTTGCTCTAGAATCTAGATGATGCTTTGCCCAGTCCCGGTCCTCCGGGCTCTCCCTGCCCGACTCCGGCCATGCGCACAGCTGATCACCGCTTCCGGGTGCTAGACAGCCAGCTCCCTTTCGTTCCGCTCGGAACAATTCGAGCGTGTGCAGCACGACCTTTGGGAACCGGGAAGGTCACGTGAAAAGAAACGCTGAGCCGATCAAAGCGCCAGAGGCCTGAGCCTCTGTATGTACACAAAGGGGACTTTCTCCTGATGGACCCTGAGGACTGAGGGTGACCAGGAGGCCCAGGAAGTGCTCATTGCTTGGGTTTTAAGTACCCCAGTGACAACCCAAATCGTGGGGACCCCCGTGCAACCTGTTCTGCGGGCCCACGTGCCCGATGGTGCCCAGGAAAAATTCAGAGGCCTGTCTCTGTCCGGTCAGGAATTTGTGTGGGGGGTGTGGGGAGGGCCAGAGGGTGAGGGTCAGAGGTCATGTTGCTCTGCTTCTTGCCATGCTTAACGGCTCCCCTCTGCCTCCCTCCACCAACACCAGCTGATGCCTCACCTCAGGATCCCCTGGCCGGATCCTGGGGGTCCCAGAACATCCACATAGACAGGTCTGTGCTCAAACGGGTGCAAATGGGCCACGGCAACAAGATGACCCTTCAGACAGACCAGGCCACAGCCCCCGGCCACAGCCCCTCTGCCAGCAGCCTCTCTGTCAGCCCCCCAGGTAACGAGATCACACAGCCATCCTGCTGTACCCCACCCACCCCCTTTGGCTCCTCCCTGGACAGAACCTAAGCCAGTCTTTGCAGGGAGAGGGGCATGATGGGAAATTCCTTTCCATCTACCAGGAGGCTGTACTGGAGTGCAGCAGGTGGGGCTTTAAGAGCTAGTACTTGGGCTCCCAGCCCCACTGCACCCCTCGGGACCTCAGTGTGTCCGTCGGCACAGTGGGTGCGCAGCCACAGAAGCTGGGCCGGCTGCAGCGGGGACCGAGGAGGGGGCCGACTGGCACAGCATCTCGGAGGGGGAGGGCAGGAGCCACCTCAGTACCCAGAGCCCTACTAAATGCTGTCAGTGGTGGCCAGAGGGCTCAGGAACCGGCCTCCCCATCTGGTGATGAGACAGGCTGGGGGAGGGGTCCGGCAGAGACCTGGGGGGGGGCAGGAGGCAGTTTCCGGAAGAGGGGAGGCCAGCGAGGTTGGAGGAGCGCCACAGGGTTTTGCAACGGGGAATCAGTGGTGACCTGAGGGGACAGAAGGAGCCTGGGGAGCAAGAGGAGGTGACGCTGAGCCCCGACAAGTCTTTTCCGAAGTTTGGGTGGGACGGGAGCAGGACAGCAGGGCTGGGGACCGAGCTGGGCCCTGAGAAGATTTTAACCAAAGTTGGAGATGTTGCCCTGGAGCCGCTGGACCGCTGAGAGCAGGGAGGAGGGGCAGGGGCGGGGGGGGGGGGCTGAGTCCCAGGGCCAGCACGGAGGACCAGGTCAGCGGGATGAGGTGGGACCCAAGCTGGCCAACCTCGGGGGAGGGGACAGAGAGCCTGCAGCCCAGGGCGGCGAACGGTGTGTGCAGAGGAGCTGGGAGCTGGGGGTCAGAGACGCCGGCCATGCAGGGCTTAGCCAGGCTGGGGCGCTGGGGGGCTGGCCTCGGGCCCTGCCCACTGCTCACAGACCTCCCCTTGTCTCTCTTCGACTAACCCACAGTCTCTGCCACCACCGCTGGTCCAGAATCTTCGTTTGACATTCGAATGCCCACATTAGAACCTCACCCCGAGGGGAAGGAGGACATGGCCCAGAAAATCCACATCAAGTCCTGCTTGCTCGAGGATGCGGCCATTGGCAACAGCAACAGAATGAGGGTCAGCCTGGGGACAGCTGGCCCAGGAAGAGGGGCGGGGCCTGAGGACAGCAGTGGGGACCTTGGGGAGCCCGCAGAGGACACAGGTGAGCCTGGGACGGGGTGGGGCCCTGAAAGTTCTCTCTCCCATCCATCCATCCATCCATCCATCCATCCATCCATCCATCCATCCATGCACAAGCCTCCCATTCCCAGAGTCCGCGGCAGTGGGTGTCACAGCAAGGAGGCTCTGAGAGGGTGCGGGGTCGGACCTAACCCATCACTGAGCGCCGAGCTGTTTCTCCACCTGCAAAATGAGGACAAGAATAGCCCGCTCGGGCCCCACGCCTGTGAGGCTGCCCTTCCTGGGAGCCTTCCGGAACATGATACCCCTCCTCTGTCCTCACCCGCCCGCGCTCAGTCACTCACTCCGTCCACTGATTCTCCCCACCGAACGACGCGGTCGTCACCTTCTTCCACGTGTCAAATGTGAGGCTGAGCAGTTCACGCGCCCTCGCCCACAGACACCCCTCGCCTGGGGACAGTCAGGAGCAAAGTGGACCAGTGTGTCCTGCTCGGGGGGTCAGTGTCCGGTAGGGGAGCAGGGACAGCTCGCAGAGCCATCGGGCCTCTCACGGAAACAGCAGCGCTGTATAGAACAATGCAACCTGGGGGGCACAGGGGACCCGGCTCAGCGGGGGGGGGGAGCGCACCGGTGAGCACGGGCAGGGCCTCTGACCTGGAATCCTAGAGGAAAGCTGACCCTCTGAGGTCGTCGGGGAGCCTGGAGGCTTGAGGCAGAGGCGGCACCGTGGGAGCTCAGCCTCAGTCTCTGTGGTTACCCCTGGGGTCAGGGAACGGAGGTGGGACCGGAGCCACTGGGCTGGGCCCCAGGGAACTGAGTCGCCGCCGGCATGCAAGGTGAGACGGCTCACACGTCTCTCGGGCACCATCTCCTCCCCAGCGCCTCAGCCAGAAGCTGCGAAGCCCAGAGACAAGGTGGCTCCCGATGCTGGTCGTGCTGACCCCGACGTGGCCACGCTCCTGTCCCCGCTGGAAACCGTGGCACTCGAAAGCAAGGATTCGGAAGCCGCTGCAGACGGCCCCTGAGTGGACGGGGCCCAGCAGGGGCCTGCAGGAGGCGGGGCTCAGAACAAACAGCCCCGGCTGGACGGAGGGGGTGGACAAAGGCTGGAGGGGGCCTGAGCCCTCGCACTGTACGGTTCGTCCCATAAACGTTCTTGACCTTCTTTTTCTTTTTTTTCTTGTACGTGCCCCTAGCGGGAACCGAACCAGGGACTCTCTAGTCTGCAGGCCGACGCTCCATCCGCTGAGCCAAACCGGCCAGGGCAACGTTCTTGACTTTCTTGTCTCCTGACCATGGCCAGCATGAGTCGGCACATGGGCTGGGCCAAGGCTGGGTCTGTGGTGACCAAGAGCAGAATGACAGGGCGACCCCCAGGATCTCGGGGCGCCGAGAGGAGGTGGGCTGATGGGAGGGGTGCTCAGGCAGCCAGCAGGGCCCAGGCAGGACACCCCACACCCCGGACCACCTTCCATCACAGTTGACTCTCGTCTTGTCACTTAAGACCTGATTTCTCCAGGCTGGAGAGGGGACAAGGGCCGGACCACACGCACCTGGGAGTTGAGAGCTCCGAGCGCGCCCAGCCCCAGGTGCACGCGTACTCCAGCCCTGGGTTCCTGGGGGGACGGGGCATCCCGTCCCATGGGCTGGAACTGCCCAGCCTTCGGGGGCAGAGTTATCTTGGCCCCCACGGTGACCTGGGCCCCAATTCCTTTCGCGCGGGGTACAGCTTGCGAACGTGCCGCCAGGCGGGGGGGCATGAAGCAGGCTTGCTCGTCCGTCGGCCCCGTCCTGCCCGGGGAGCTGAAGCTGGCTTGCCTCCGGCTTGCCGAGGTCTGCGGTCAGCCAGGCCCGCGTGAGCCCGATCAGAGGGCATCTCGGAACTCGGCCCGGCTCCCACCGCCAGCCCCAACCAGCACCCCCTTCCCCAGCGGGACCGCCCCTCCGTGCAGTCCATTCGGCAGAAGCCTGCTGACCAAGCGTGGCCAACAGTTCTTGGGGCGGGGGGCGAAGGTCCACCATGGTCTCTTGAGGAAGAAAATTAGCTAGCTACCGCTGGAAGTGGAGAATGACGAAGTCTGTCCACCCCCCACTCCCCGGCTGTCACTAGCTCCCCCCTCCACCCATCCTCATGTGCACACAGAACTTGCAGCCCCCTGAGTGGGATGGGGGTGGGGATGGGGAGGAGGCATCGGCCCAGGAGTGATTTTCCACACCACCTGCTCACAAAGGCAATTCCATTGCTTTATCCCAGCTTCCTGACTCGTCTCAGGTGAGGCCAGACGGGACTCCTCTCCCGGGGGGTTGTAGCAGACAGACATTAGAGGCTTAGAGCAAGAAAAAGACTCTAGGGAGTCATTCAGGAGCATTTGGGCTGCGAGGAACAGAAACCTAGCTCACCTGGGATTTAATTCTCTCACGCAATTGGAAAATCAAGGAATACCTTGCTTCAGGAATGGCTGGATCCAGGGGCTCAAGCGTTATGTTTAGGCCCCTTTCTCTCCATCTCTCTGACGCTCTCTATGGGACCACCAGTCACCCACCACTTGTGGCCTGCCAGCTTAGCAACCTGAGCAGAAAGAGAATTCTTCAAGTCAAATACTGCTGGTAGAATGTCCCAGGGAAGATTTTGATTGGTTGAGCATGGGTCACATGCTGATCCTTGAGCCAATCAGGGAGACTGGAGTACTCTGATTGACTGATGTGGTGGGGGAAGTGAGGTCATCCACGTGGACCCGTTCCCTAGGAAGGAGAAGGAAAGGTGCTGAGCTGGTAAAAGTCAGGTGTCCGCTTCAGGAAGGGGGTGTGGGTGCTTCTTCCCAAGATTCCCTAAACACAGGAGGGCTTCTTTCTTTATTGAAGGGAAGAGAAAGCACTTCATTTGAGGGGTGATCACAGCGTCGAGTCCTTGTGGATTTGTGTGGACGTCCAGTCCTTGAACCCTGTCTGCGCATCTGTTCCCACTCTGCGCAACAGCAAGGGTTCCTCTCCTGCCCCTTTCGCGGGATGTTTGGGAAACGGGGTGCACTCCGTAGGCACGTGTGACTTTAAACTGGAGGTGTGCGTAGTCGGCGGGTGCGGGAGCCATTAGTAGCCTCTACATTACAGAAAAATCCTGCTCAAATGAGATTTTACTTATAAAGGTATTTCATAAGACATTTGAGAAAAGCTTTCAACCTGAAGGTTAGACAAAAAGCCAACGAACATAAGAGAAATTATGAGGAACTAGAGAGAAGGCAGCCCTGCCTGGCCGGAGAGCTCAGCTGGCTCGAGCATCGTCCCGATACGCCAAGACTGTGGGTTTGATCCTCGGTGCGGGCACATACAGGAATCAACCAATGCATGCAGAGGTGAGTGCAACAGCAAATCTCTCTCTCCCTCTCTCTCTCTCTCTCTCTCTCTCTCTCTCTCTCTCTGTCCTCTCTCTCCCTTTCTCTATCTCTAACATCAATTTAAAAAGCCCGGCCGGTATGGCTCAGTGGTTGAGTGTTGGCCCATGCACCAAGAGGTCACCGGTTCAATTCCCTGTTAGGGCACATGCCCAGGTTGTGGGCCCGATCCCCAGTGGGGGGCATGCAGGAGGCAGCCAACTGATGTTCTCACTCATCGAAGTTTCTATCTCTCTGTCCCTCTCCCTTCCTCTCTCTCTCTAAAATCAGTAAAGAAAGAATTTTTAAAAATTATTTTTATTAATTTGTTTTTGTTACAGATGTTTCTCCTTTTTTCCCCCATTGACACCCTCCTCCTCATCCCCCCCACCCCGTCCCCAGCTTTGTTGGCTATGTCCATTGGTTATGCGTACATGCATATAAGTTCTGTGGTTTATCTGTTCCCTCCAATACCCCCTCTTCTGAGGCTTGTCAGTCTGTACCCCACCTCTATGTCTCTGGGTCAATTTTGTTCATCAGTTTATTTAGTTCATTGTATTCCACAAATAAGTGAGATCATGTGATATTTGTCTTTCTCTGTTTGGCTTGTTTCGCTTAGGATAATACTCTCCAGGTCCCTCCATGTCGTCTCAAAGGATAAGAGATCTTTCTCTCTTACAGCTGCATAGTACTCCATTGTGTATATGTACCACAGCTTTTTTATCCATTCGTCTACTGATGGACACATGGGCTGTTTCCAGATAATAGCTATTGTAAACAGTGCTGCTATGAACATGGGGGTGCATATATTCTTTCTGATTGGTGTTTCAGGCTTCTTAGGGTATATTCCTAGAAGTGGGATCACTGGGTCAAATGGAAGTTCAATTTTTAATTTTTTGAGGCAGCACCATATTGTTTTCCACAGCGGCTGCACCAGTCTGCATTCCCACCAGCAGTGCACTAGAGTCCCCTTTTCTCCACACCCTTGCCAACACTTGTTGTTTGATGATTTGTTGATGGCAGCCATTCTGACAGGTGTGAGGTGATGCCTCATAGTTGTTTTAGAAAAAAAATTTTTTTAATAAAAACTAAAATCAATTAAAACTTTTTTAAAGAAAACGCAGCGAACAGAAGAAGATGCCAGAGCTTCACCATTAACACCCTCCAAGGAGGGGAGGTGTCGCCCCCAGGAAGCAGGAATGTTTTGCTCAAAAAAAGGAAGTTTAGGAGAATGAGGAGAAGCTCCTTGACACTTTAAGTATGAAAGCTGAAATTTATTTAAAAAGCCCTGGCGGTTTGGCTCAGTGGTTAGAGCATCGGCCCATGGACCAGAGAGTCCCGGGTTCGGTTCCCGCTAAGGGCACGTACCTCGGTTGCAGTTTGTCCCCGGCCCCGGTTGGGGTCATGTGGGTGGCAGCCACTCGATGTGTCTCTCTCACGTCGATGTTTCTCTCTCTCTCTTCCTCTCTCCCTCCCGCTCTATCTGAAGATGAATGCAAAAATGTCCTCTGGTGAGGATAAAAAAATACAAGAATTGGAAGACAATGAGAAATTTTCCTCAGATTGTAAGATCATACAGATTTTGTAAGAAATGGACAGGAACAGGTGCGAGACGCACAGGATTCGTTGGGTGAGCCCTGCACCTCCTCCGTGGGGAGCACGGGTCAAGTAGGAGGTACGAGTTATCAAAAACAAAAACAGTCCCCAGATGAGGGACTGTGAATTTCTAGACGGAACGGCCCTCCTTATACTCGGCACAGGGACCACAGTGCCTCAACCAAGGGACCCGTCATAACGAAACTTTGGAAAACGAGGGATAAAGAGAAGGCTGAGAAGTCTACAGCCTGATTCTGGGCAGGAAACTGACCAAGAGCTGGGCTGGTCTGCAATGAGAGGCCGATGATTGTGGGAATGAAATTTCAAGTGAAACCATAAAGTTGAGAGGTAAAGAAATATATTTATGAATTTGTAAGAAGTGTTAATAGACTGGACGGTGTGGCTCAGTGGTTGAGCGCCGACCCCTGCACCAAGAGGTCGCCAGTTCGATTCCCGGTCAGGACACATGCCCAGATTATGGGCCCGATCCTCAGTGGGGGGCATGCAGGAGGCGGCCGATCGGTGTTCTGTCTCATCAATGTTTCTGTCTCTCTCTCCCTCTTCCTTCCTCTCGCTCTCTCTCTAATATCAATAAAGAAAAAAAAATTTTTTTAAAAGAAGTGTTATAGACATATTGCAGGTCTGTTGAAATGTTTGCATTTAAAAAACTGCATGCGTGTGTGCGTGTGCGTGAGTGTGTGTTAACCCTGGTGAACACGCAGACGTCAGGTAAGGCCTCTTCCAGCACCTCAAACAATTGTCCGTCTGTGTCTTGGTTTGGCCTCCCACAGACTCAGGTTTCTCAGACCCCACACGGAGACCTTCCAGCCCCAAGGGTTCTGCTCTATTGGTGACAAAGAGGCTGCTGTGGTCCAGACCTTACATCCTCACTGAAGACGAAAGTAGCTTCTAAACCCATCATTTTTAGTTGGTCACAGTGATGGGAGTCACTTGCTGTGATCCAGGCCCATTGGATGTTGGGGGAACTTAGACTCATAAAGAGCCACTGAGCACCCCGCATTTTCTAAGCTCCCTTTAGGCGTCCTCTAAGCAGATGAGTACATGGAGGCCCAGGGAGGGTAAATGACTTGACAAGACGATAAGTGAAGCCCGTGACGGGCTGAGCCTTCCAGACTTCCCCAGACCGATCATAAACCCGTCATCACCAGAGGCCCACTCACAGCTCCCGTCTGAC